GAATATGGGTTAGTTATGATCAAACTCCGTAATTTAATGGTAAAATCTCTTGGTTATAAAGAAAATAGGTAGAATACAACCGTAAGTATGAGCCTCAGAACGTATTATTTTAGAGGTGCCGTCTAGAACATCTTGACATAGAAATGTAGCATGAGCCCCATAAGATATTCCATTCCATTCGGAAACATTCGTACTACAAAATGTTTGAATTAGCACTTTATTTTGTAAATGACATCTGTATTCTGGAAACACGTAGCTCGATCCTAACCTCTGGCTGGCTGTCAAGTAAGAACTAGTGGATACGGTAATGTGTAGAAGTGTAAAAGAAAAGAAACGATCAACCTATTATTAATGTATTCCTCTTCGAATTGAGAAGAAGCAATAGGAGCAATTTAGCCGCAAGTTGGAAGAAACAACAAAAAGTCTCAAGAAGATGGCTAACGAATTAGAAGTCGAAAAACAAAAAACTGACGAGCTTCTTTGTGAATTGATGCCAGCCTCTATCGCTGATGCCCTCCGACAAGGAAAAATGGTGGAAGCAAGTAGGCAATGTTTGATCTTTTGGAGTCATTCGGATAAATGTTGAAAATTTCCTTAAGGTGACTTCGCCGACTGCACGCTACTTTTCACGGATATTGTGACTTTCACAAATATTTGCGCCAAATGTACTCCTTACGATGTGGTTACACTGCTCAATGACTTGTATTTGAGATTCGATCGATTGATTGGACTTGTGAGTTTCAAAGTAACAACAGCGACAAAGTTCTGAGGGGTTCTGATGTTGATATATTGGTATAATGATCAAATTCTTAGTGAGTAGTTTGTCTTTGATATTGAACCACCCAGATGACTCGTTTATAAATCTAAAAGCGGCTGGAAAAACGTTAGCCAATTATTCAGTTGCAAAAGCGCTTAACAATTATCAGCCAGTGTGATATGCGATACAATAAATCTTCTTCCTATTACAACTGCAATCGTTTCAGCATGACGTATATAAAGTGGAAACTATTGGCGATGCGTATATGG